ATATATATATATATAAAGTTATATATTTGCATTATGCGCAATATACTCAAGAACAGAAAGAAAATATTCAACAAGAATAATATATTATGCAAATAAATTTGTACAAACCGTTGGCGAAAATATACATACATTACAAGGAGACATACTTTCACTTACTGTCAATACCCGTTTCAATAGGTAGGCAGCAGAAAGCACAACGAAATATCAGTCACCTGCAACAAAAAAAGAAACATGTCTGTGAGTAAAGTATACAGACACAGTACGCTCGTATATTGCAAATGTAAACATTTATAGTATATTGAACAGCTTTCAACTATACAGGTTGCTCCTTCTAGTTAATAGCAGCAACAGAATTACGAACGCTTACAGTGTTAACATGTTTTGTATAATATTGTATATAATGCAAATAGTATAGAATAGTTATAATTATATTTCAACTCTATTTTTTTAAAAAGAGGTAAGCTTCTGTCAACTTACATATGTAAAAAATGTAATACAAATTGTATATATTAATTTAGGCCTATAACTTCTTTCGTAATCCTTTTTTTACAATGCATTTTTTTTTAAAAAAATCAGATATCTAAAAAAGGCTATAAGATGTAGTCGAAACGTTATGAAAACTACAATGTAAAACATGTATATATAGGAAAATAATAAATAAATTAAATAATAGGAAAATATATGGGAAATAAATCAATCTGAGTGTCTGAAATTTGAAGAGGAGATGTTCGTTTTAATTTATATGACTACAGACATTCATAAAAAGAAGACAGAAAAACGTTTATGTAATTATCACATAATTTCAAAATTTGACATTATGGGGCTAGGCCGAAGACCTTTAAGCCATTACAATACAAACATCCTAATGTGTTTTAACCTTTCGAATCCTGGCATTCACTCCAAATGTTCTCTCTCCATCGCCTCAACTCCGCGGAAAAGAGGACAAATGGTACGGCTAAGGAAAAACTCAGAGGTGGGAAAACCAGCCGTCAGAAGACGAGGACATTTCTACCAAACTTTCTCGAAACTATTAATTCATTTCATGGCGAGGACGTCACAAATTCTCCTAACAGACTTTGGTCTCATTATAAATATCCAGATAATATGATTATCGGACCTAAAGCTATCAAAAATGTAGTACTGAAAACCCGTATTCCCTCTAGATTGCCCGCGGAAACGTATGCAGCGCGCACGTGGGGACGGCAGAAGCGCTCGGTACCGCTGTCTCTTTGTCTACTGTCAAGCACCAAAAAAAAAAGCATGGTAAAACGTATTCTCCCACCGTCTTAAAATGGTCTATCACCAGAAGTTGCCTCCTGTACTCAGAATAACCTGTAGTCTTCGCATTAAGAAAATTCGCAAACAGTATTAGCTACGAGAATTCGAATACGTAGTTACTATGAAAATGTGTCCACAGTATCAGAACTTTAATACGTTTTATATCACGAAAATTTGCTCAGCGAATTCGCCAAATTTGCTCACCACTCAGTAGTTGATTGACTGATGATTTCAACTGTTAGTCATTACTCCCGTAAGTGTAGTGCATGTTTTATCGCTGGAGGTGGCGGTGATCTTCTCCCGCTGGCTGGCGATATTCCCAGCCGACCCACGTCAGCTAGAGAGGTCTTCCCACATCGGGTATCTCCCACCAGCGGGGCACCGCCCCGCTCGGAACAAGCTCCACACTAGGGCCTAACCAGCAACTCTCCATCAAAGCCGGAAATAAAGCTGGAAGGTGCTATTATAAGGGGCGCTAGTGTCGCTGGGTGCAGCTGCAGGTTAGGCTCGCCAACTTTCCCACATACAAATTGGCTAATATGTGAGAAATACAAAAGGAGTCTTCTAAATGTTCAATTATCCATAATACGAACCTCTTCAGAAGAACCTCTGAAGAAAGCGCGAACATCGACGCCATCTTTTATAACATTAAACGAGTGCTTGCGTCTCGCGATCTGACGCAGCACCCACGCACATTAGAAGTATCGTTGGCAGCAGTTCGTATTTTAGTTTCTGTAAGGAAGTGCAGCAGTGCGCGCCACTGTAATGGTTTCCACCATATTATATGGAAGCTTAAAGGCCCTGCCCCACACTTCCCACTGTTGTCCAGTCATGAGTGGTAGTGAAGTGCAGAGTAGTGTGTATGTAAAGGGTGAAATTGAACAAAGAAGGGGAAGGAGAGAGATTTTTTAAGATACTGCTCCGGCATTCGCCTTGTGTTGATCGAAGAAACCACAGCAAACTACTGATCAGAGCAGTCGGCCGCAGGAAATCTCCTCCAGACAGAACGCGACCTAGCTACAGTACAAGATCAAAAGTAGGGAGCTTGCATCCCTTATTTTGAGTGGCCCTATCACGGCACAGGCCTACGTTGATGTTTTAAACACCTTCTTGCTTCCCATTGTTGAAGAGCAATTCGGGGATTGCATCTCTCAACACGATCGAGCACCAGTTCATACTGCACGGCCTGTGGCGGAGTGGTTACACGACAATATCATCCCTGTAATGGACTGGCCTGCATAGAGTTCGGACTTAAATCCTATCGAATGCCTTTGGGATGTTTTGGAACACCGACTTCGTGCCAGGCCTCACCGTCCTACATCAATACCTCTCCACAGTGCAGCACTCCGTTAAGAATGGCCAAGAAACCTTCCAGAACCTGATTGAAAGTATGCCTGCGAGAGTGGAATCTGTCATCAAGGCTAAGGGTGTGCCAACACCCTATTGAATTCCAGAATTACCACAAACTAGTAAGTCATTTTCAGCTACGTGTCCGGATACTTTTGATCCAATTGTGTATGTTATTAATATAATAAATGATAGAATTGTCACAATGTAGAAAGTCGTAGAACATACTTGGTAATTTTGCATCATTGTCAAGATGATTGAAAATCAGTGGGGATGAAAAATAAAAAAGCTAATATCTAGCTAGATTCGAAAATCCTGCCGCTTTCGCAAGTGTAACCGTAGAACCTCCCCGACAGAGGCAGTGCAGTGACGGTTAATGCCCTGAGCCACCTCTCCCGGTCCCACCCAGTGGACTTCGCATCGCGAGCACATTCAGTCCAGCTCGGCCACTGTGCCGTCCGCAAGCATTCTCTCTCTACCCCCCCCCCCTTCCACCACCGCTGGCGCATCGCGCTTGCCAATCGATGCCGCAAGCGGCGGCGATGGGCAGTGGCGGGCGGCGATGGGCAGTGGCGGGCAGCGGGGGCGGTGGAACTGCCAGTTGGCCGGCCACCATATGCCGTCGCTGCGGCTGTTTCGCCCCCGCCCTCTAGCGGCGCCGTCATCATCATTAGCGCCAAGCCAATCGGCAAATCCACGCACCGCACCTCCCCCCCCCCCTCCTCACCGCCTAGCGGCACCTCACGGTGCGCCGGCCGCGCCGCCGGAGAGCGTTAGTGTAGCGATGCGGTCGCTCAGGTGCTCCGCAAGGGCCAGAAACGGGGCATTAAGTCGCTCGGGCAATTGAATGTCCGTGCGCAACGCTCGCTGATTACCTATTTGGACAAGAAATGCCATGGATTTTTGTTACAAGAATCCGTCAGAAATATCCCCGATATTTAAATGGATTCATCAATTCTTTGAAGAAGATATTCATACTTCATATTTTATTCAAGAGAAAAGAGCATATGTGCAAAAACGATTAACTTTTAATGTAATACCGATCAATTTCGTACTCATAAATTCTTTTTCTTTTACATAATGAGCGTTTCATCGCGTGCAGTTGATTTCTTGTGTAATGAATTATTTCAAAACTTGGCTTGGCATTATTGGCGCTAAGCCAATCAACAAATCCACTCACAGCAAGCCCCTACATCCTCTCCCCCGGCACCTCCCCGAGCGCCCTCCCGCTGTGGGCGGGCGTTAGTGTAGTAGCAATGTGGTATTTCAGGTGTTCCGCAAGGGCTAGAAACGGGACATTAAGTCATCCGGGCAATTGAAAATCAATGCACAATGCTCGCTAATTGTTTAAATACGAAATGCCAAGGAATCTCATTAAAAAACGACAAAAACATCCGAGTTTGTGAAATTGAACCTTTGAAACAGAAATTCACACTACAAATTTTATTTAGGAGAACATATCGTTCATAAAAAACACATTGTTCATTCCATGAACGTACTACCGATCACTATTTCATACACTTTCGTGCTCATGTACTCTATTTTACGTAATGAGCGCTTTATCGCCTTCAGTTCATTTGTTGTGAAATGATTTATTTCAAAACTTGTGCTTGACATCAGTGAAATACGTCCCGAACATCCGAATTTGTGAAAGCGACTGATCAATTTTCGAAAAGAAATTCGGACTGAGTTTTACTTAAGAGGAAAGAGCATTTCTGAGAAATCATAATGATTTCTATTTCTTTGATTTCTGTGAACGCAATAGCGATATCAACGTTTCATACAATTTTGTTCTTGTGGACTGTTGTTTCTTCAATAAATGTTCTATCGCCAGCAATGGATTTGTTTACTGATTTAGTTCTAAGCTTGTGCATGACATCATTATCTGAACCATTAGAGCCAACCCAATCGGCAAACCCAAGCATCGCACCCTCCGCCCCCCCCCAATCATCTCCTACCACAGCCCCCTCCCTCCCTCCCTCCCCCCGCGGGCGTCGTCAGTGCAGTGATGCGGTCGCTCAGGAGCTCCGCAAGGGCCAGGAAATGGGGCATTAAGTCGCTCGTGCAGGTCAATGTTTGTCCACAACGCTCGCTGATTAACTGCATTTAGAAGAAATATCTGATATATTAGCACAAGAAAAATTAAACACAAACACCTACACAACACACTCCCTCCCGCCTCCCGAATACCACCCCTGGTCATTCAAGTTAGCCACTATGACTTTTAAAAATAACCGAAACATTCTTAATATCTTATCTAAAAAGGATTCAAGAAACGAATTTTTTAAAACGAAGGGAGTGTGTTGCTAGAAAGGAAACTACGACAGCATATACCTTCATTTCTAACACCCTATTGAAATCCACTACATACGTTTTCACGCCTAAACAAGAGTTACTTCAGGTGAGGATCAATTCATTCATCAAACACTTGCTTCTGTGTGCGAACCCAAAATTTCAAAATATTAGCCCGATTTTAACTCAACGCGTATATGTAATTATTAACGGGAGACGTATGGTGTAGTTGTCAAACTGCCCGCCTTCGACCTCCGGGTACGG